ATTATTTAGAGTTCACACTTTTATATATAGATATCATAGATGATACATGTATTTATCTATAATAAACACACTCATAAAGTACAAATAATTATTGAATAGATGCTTTCAAGATAAGAGTACAAATTAATAATTATATATTTAAAGAATATAAACAAATAATAGAAAATAAACTATAACATTATTGATTCAAAGAATATAATAATTGGTTACAAAACTAACAAAGCTTTGATCATTCAACGAAATGCGCACAATTAATCACATGATTAAATATTTTTCACTATCAAAATACAAAAATATTCTAGAGCATTCTTAATTGAAAAAAATAAATTTATATTATTCAAGGAAAAATTCTAAAATATATTGATAGTAGAGTTTTTAAATTTCACAATTGAAATTAGTAACGTAACACACATACCCTTTAAGTTTCATAGTATATTAAAAAAGACTAATTGAAAAAATAAGTGAGTGATATTAAAAAAAAAAGAAACCTAATTGAAAAAATAAGTGAGTGATGTGTTAATTTTTTAACCTACTTGTGGAATTAAAAAAAACTCAACTAACATTATATCAAATAATTTCTCTTTTTCAAGATTAATGTTTCTTAACAATATTGACTATGGTTTCATAAAAATATCTTAAGTAAAAAATATTTGAAATTAAAAAAAAAAAAAACAAGGATTGACAAAAATTACCTTGAATGTAATATAAAATCAATCTATAGAGAAGACAAAATAAAATCTAAGTTTAGTAACAATTCACATATACAAGAGATTAAGTTCATAAAGCAAATATTCATTTAGTCAATGTAACATTAAGGCGTGATTGCATAGAGTGATTAAAAATATTATAGTAAAATAAATCAACCATTGCAATCATTAAACATATAAATATATATTTATCATAAAAATAAAAAATTCAAACATACACTTACCACAATACATGTATTACTCTTTCCCAATAATATTTTAATAATTTAATTAATAATTTTGTATGAACTTTAATTTTAATTGATCTAAATTAATTAAATAAATAATATAAATATATTTAAGGACTCATGATATGTACTATTAAAGAAGATAAAGAGTAAATTAGGTTGTATCTTGAAAAAGAAAAATTTTATGTTTTACTTAAGATAAAATTAAATGTTTTGGGGGCATAAATGTTATGTATAATAATTTAGACTAAAATAATGACTCATTGAGCAACAAGGAAGGATTTTGTCTATGTTTTGTTCAATATTAAGGACTCATAGTATGCCATAACCCATAGGATGAGAAATATGTTTTATATTAATTTAATTGAATTATTAGTTATGAAATTGAACAAAAAAAATCCTACAAAAAAAAGATAAGAGTAAATTTGGGTTAATTTTTGACAACACATCCACCATATCCTACAAATAAATTTTTAATGTAGTTTAATTTGATATAAATTCTATTCATAAATTTTTAATTGATTTAAATTTAAATAACTAACGAATAAAATGTTATATATTTAATGGCAAATAATCTTCATTAAATAAATGAATAAATGCTAGAAATTTAAAGGTAAATTTGTTATCTTTTAAAATTCATAAGGATATTTATGCTATTCACTTTTAACACTTTTGCATTAATTTAAATAATTAACTAATAAATTATATATATTTAATGGAAAATAATCTTTAATACATAAATAAAAAATGCTAGAAATTTAAAGGTAAATTTGTTATTTCTTAAAATTTATAAGGGTATTTATGTCATTCACTTTTAATAGTTTTAGAGTTCACACTTTTATACATAGATGATATATTAAGTCTTGTTTGCTGGTTTTGTTTCGTATGGACAAGATGAGCTTTCCATCTTTTCTGAGTGTTGCTCCCCACCATTATCAATCATTCACCAATTACCTAAAGGCAACAAAGAGGTGGGATCCAACAAGAAGAAAAAATGAGCATTTCATCCAAAAATGCAAGTCAATGTAGTTGCACTGAGCATGGGAAACTTCTCTGCAATATCTTAGCAAGTAAACTTGTAAATACAGAAGCATACTGAAAAAGAAACATATTTTCCACAAGGATGTGGACAAATGTTTTGCTTGAAATTAAATGGGTGTCATTTTAAATCAATTCTTTTTAAACTACCTATGATCATAGAATAATGAAATGAATGTCCGAGAAAATCAAGCATGGTTCACTTTTGCAATTTAATTCCAACCAGACTCCACTTGTAAGGTATAGTTAACTGCACAATAAGCTCTAGAGGGAGAATCATATTCCTCAATAAATCCTGCAACAGTTAAAAAGTGTTAAAAGAAATGAACTTCAAAGAATCCTACAAGAAAACCATAAACTACACAACCATACTGACCACTACTTAGAAACAGAAGCAGATCACTATCAAGAACAGAAGTTATCCGGTGCGCAATTGTTTTGACCGTACAGTCAGAGAAGTGCTCCCTTGGGGTTGTTTGTATCAGATTATCAGTAGCTGTACCTGTATCAACCGATGCAGTAGCTTCATGAAGCACTAAGATCTTACTTTTCTTGAGTAGCACACTCCCAAGACGGACCAGCTGCATCTGACACATGCTCCACTTCTCTCCATTTTCACTAACTGCAAAAGCAGTGTCATTATAATCCCTTCAAACATGGTAGGATCCTGAGGAATGATGCTGAGTCTTGAACGTAAATCAAGCAGCCCAATTGATGAGATATTTACATCATCAATTATAATCTGGCCTGCTGCAGGGAAAAGGGTTATGTTGGTAAAATATTAAAATTTTAATTTTAAAGATAAAGATTTAATCTTTGATAATCTTAAATATAAAAAACATTAATTTGGAAATGGTAAACAAATTCATTTTTATTTGAAATTTGACATGTGATTATAATTTTATTTTTTCTTTTTTAGATTAGTTTGCTCTAATGAAGTCTTTCCATATACTGACTATGAAGAGTTAAAATTGCTTTACAAAACATCCTTTAAATGAAAACCACATTTCATCATGAAATTCCATAAAATCACTTAATTTGAACAATAACTTTTTGCCTTATTATTTAGAATTAGATTAAAACTTTCATACTAATATTTGTGCTGGTGACGCCATCTCTCTTAAGGAGTGCTAATGTCACTGCCATTGCTGTCTGTTCCTTCTCAATCATTGTATTATTTATATATATATATATATAGTATTTACTGTGTTTTTATTTTCCAGCATCTTCAATAAAATAAAAAAGAACAAAAACATATACCAAATATAAACTGCTAGATAAAAAGAAAAAAGAAAAAATATATAAATAACCGAGCGGATAATTAAAGGAGTAAAAAGTAAAAACAATTAAAAGGATTTGTTGGTGATCAACTTTCACTCCATTAACTGTAAGAAAGTTCTTCAATGAGAAATTGAGGACAGACCAATAACATGCCTTTGACCCAATAGCAACCCAATAGCAAATGGAGGTTGAGTTGCCCAAAGCTTTTGGCCCAAAAAACTTTTAGTCTTATATTTCTAGTTAAAACTCCAATATGGCATTTGTTGAAGATAAATTTAACTTGGATAGTTTATATGATTACTTTGAAAGGTAATATTTGATAAGTTAAGATTTAAATTTATTAATCTGTAATGTTTTTCTATCTTCAGATACAACCTCTTTTATAAGAAAAAAAAATCAATTCCAAAAGTATTAGTTATTCCTCTTGATTTTGGGCAATTAATTTGTAACTTGGGCCAATAATTCATATTATAAATAGCCTGCTTTTGATTGGCACAATTAATGTAGCCACCTATGTTTTAATCACATCTCCCAATATCTTCTCAAATAAAAAATTTGAAGCCCTTACTTTTTGGCATATAGCTTAGCATCAGCCATAATTTATTGACAGCATGATAGAAATTATATCTCTATCTAACCAGTATGACATAGTTAGATAGAGTAATGTGTACTGTTTGCCAACGCTATCAACATTGATATTCGGGGTTTCAGGCAAGAGAAAGCTCAAAAAAGTTGCATAAGTCAATTCCATTAGATACTTGTCAAAGTTAACCATAATGATATGATAATTTGTACATTTATATTATATAAAATATTGATAATTTATGTATCTTTTTATGTTTTATATAAAGATTATATGTAACAATTTTTGTTAATATAAAAAATATGAAATACACCTTTTTGATTTTGTAAAAATCATATATGATTTTTTGCTAAATTTTTTAACCTTGTCATCTTCATGTTTTTTTCATATCATTTTAATATTATTAACCTGCAAAGTCCACATGAAATATCTAGGATAGGGTTGGCTGCTTTTGAGCTTATGCCCACTCTTCCAATGGTTAATTTCAAATACAAGAGTATCCTTGCAACAAGAGCCACAAAACGAATCTAATAACTATAGCTTTCTCCTTCCATGCCAATTCTATCCAACAATTTCCTGACAAAACATAGAGAAAAACATATCCAAAATATATTTTCTGTTCTAACTCTTGTCCTGCTTCGACATTCTCAATCACCACTCTCTTTTTGGTCTCTAAGATATCCACATCAAAGCTTACTAATGTCTTATATATAAGAATATAGCCAACATCAGACCACCTTATACGGCATTCTCCCCAATGCCATTGAGAGGCTCCAGTTCATTTTTTGATGGGAAGGCAGACTGACCTACCTGTTCGTTCATCCCTTGCCCTTTTGTAAGAGCTGTTCAAACAGTTGCAGAGAGAAAAAGGAATGAGGCAGGAGAGAGAGGTTTTGCGGCTGCGCACCAAAGCAAAGCGGATGAATCAAGTTAAAATATTTGGAGAGTAGCAGCAAAGATTATTGAGTCAAACAAGCCAAAACCAAAATTATGGAAGAAAACATAAATTGCTGCAAGCAAACAAGATGTAAACGCTTAGAAAAGATGCTTACACACATTAGTCAATAGAAAGCCAAACACATACATGACTAACCTTCACCATAGGCAAAACATTTGATTGACTGCACTGCAACAAAATGTAAAAAGTCAACAGAAATGCTTGAACATTATTTGCACTGACTAGATTCTTCTTCCTCCACCATTGCGATCGCCAATCTTTGACCTTTCTTGCCTCTTATGATGTCGGTCTTCAACCAAAGCCACAATCCATTTTGGCTTACCAGTTTGAAAAACAACATATCCCATTACCAATCCAATGACAACTCCACATCCATAACCTGTCAACACTACATTCCAACCAAAAGCAATGTTCTATTTCGAGCAATCTTCTTCTAGCAAGTTTGAAGGTGGTGGCTTACTGTTGCTGCAACCTTTAGAGACCGGAAATCCACATAATCCCTCGTTTCCATCATATGAATCATTTTCAAAAGTGTTAAATTGTTTCCCTTGAGGAACCTGACCTTGAAGATGATTTTCAGAAACATTAAAAACAGAAAGAGATGTCAGATCTAGCAATCTCTCTGGAATTGTCCCAACCAGCTTGTTTGAAGAAAGGTCCAGCCATTCAAGACCAATCAAATTCCCTATTGAAGTGGGGATGGATCCACTAAGGTTATTATGAGAAAGGTTAAGCCCCTTGAGTGAGTTAAGGTTTCCAATAACCTTTGGAATCTCTCCTCGAAACTTATTATTTGAAAGGTCAATGGTCGTTAACTTGGTGAAAATTTTCACCACTTCCATTTCTACTCCTTTTATTACAATTCCAATAGAGTAGCTACAGAATCTAAGATCATAACCATTACTCGACCCTATGTATTGCATTGCACTTTCATCTTTAGTCAGATTTATCATAGCTTTGAAATTTTTTAGATATCTCACAGGGAGTGCTCCAGAAAAAGAATTGCTCGAGATATCAAATATTTGGATTTTGGAAAAAGAAAGACCGGACCTATTGTCTTGTATGGAACCGTGCAGTTGATTTGACCGCAATACAAGAACTTGTAGCTCTGGAAGACTTCCCAACCAATGAGGAAATGTAACATTGATCTTGTTGTCACCAAGATCTAGCACTTCCGGACCTCTACAATTAAGGATGGATCGTGTTAAAGGCCCTTCTAATTGATTGCCATTTAAGTTGAGACTTTTCAATTGACATCCTTTTGTAAAAGTTGGAGGAATGATTCCATAAAATTTGTTCATCTGTAGATTCAACATCCAAAGACTGTCGCTTAAATTTCCCAAACAATGGGGAATGATTCCACTCAAGTTGTTGTGAGACAAGTCAAGAAATTGAAGAGAAGTCATTTTGCAAATTAGAGAGGAGACATTTCCGCTCAAACTATTATTGGAAAGGTCTAAATATTGCGAACTTTTTGAGCCTCTTAAGAATTGAGGGAATTCGCTGACATTGCAAGAAGGCAAAGACAAATATTTGAAGATTAGGCAATGTATAAACGGCACTAGTGCCATTATAGTTTAAGGATAGACGGTTCGAAGAAAGATCAAGCAACTGAAGATTTTGGAGTTTAGAGAACATGCTAAACTCTATAATACCACTTAGATTGTTCGATGATAAAAAGAGAGTAGTAAGGTTCACGAGTTAGGATATTGAAAATGGAATAGGACCTTGGAGTTTATTATTTTGTAAATCTATCAATTCCAGAGAGTTGTATTGGAATTCTTTGATATAACCACTGAATTGGTTATCAGAGAGATATATGTACTTCAAAGAGGGAATGGTATAGAACCATGATGGAAGTGTTCCACTAAGTAAATTTGAACTCAAGTCTAGCAAGATTAGATTAGGAAAAGCATTTACCTCATTTGGAATGGAACCTTCTAGCATATTTCCAAAAATGTAGAAAAATTCAAGTTGTTTTAGGTTTGTGAGTGATGATGGAATTGATCCACTAAAAGAGTTCTCTGACAAGCCCAAATAACTGAGTTGCGAGAGGTTCCCCAATGATCTTGGAATTGATCCTGATAAGTTGGAATTGAAGAGATGCAAATAGTTCAAGGAAATAAGGTTCCCGATTGAATTGGGCAATCCTCCTCCTGAGAAAAATGCGTTTGATACATCCAAATGCTGCAAAGATACTAAATTGCCAATCGATTCAAACAGTTCTCTAGAGAAGGACATAGATGATAGATCCAAAAATTTGAGATGGCGGCTTCGATTTAATTGTGGAAGATTGAGGCTGAGGTTTCTGTTTTCTCCTAAATTGAGCAACTTGAGGTTAGGGCGGGTGGGAAATGTTTTCCGGGAATTTTCCTCGCAAACCACAATCTTTAAGAGACCTTAAAGATGAGGATAGATTCCTCAAGACATTAGGATTAATAAAAGACATGTCAGTTTCATCAAGAAAAAGATCTCTCTCCTTTGTTAGGTTGTGAACGAGTCCTTCCAAAGTATGTTGCTCAAGTGTTTGATCATAATTCCCAGAGCGATCAAATGAAACCAATTTTGACAAGTGGGAGACTTGAGATGGGACTTGTCCTGCAAACTATGATTTAGAGAGGTTGAGATACTCTAGACTTGCAAACTCAACAAACTTAGATGACATCTTGGAAGAGTTAAAATCGTTGAAGGCAAGGTTGAGCTTCTGAAGGTGTGGAAGATGGAAGAGAGTACTATTGGAAGGGATGGTGCCATATAGCCAACTGCAACCCAAGTCAAGGCCAATCACTTGACCTTTTATATTATCACAAGTCACCCCATCCCATGAGCAGCAATCCGTACCTTCCTTCCATGAATCTGTCTTAGGATAGGATATAATGCCAGCATAATCACAATACGAAGAATAAGAATAAAGTTGATTAACTGAAACAGAGTTCTTGAATTGGATTAGTGCAACAGCTTCATCGTGAGAGCAAAGTTGAGTTGTTGGAGAAGAAAGAGAATAGGATGATAGATTAGCTTGAATAAACAGGAAGAACAAGACTAGGTAGAGGAATTGATAGGATCGGAGTAAGCACCACATGTTTTTTAAGCAATAGAAATTGAAGATTAATGGTATGAGATATGATTGTTTTGAATGAGATTATATAGACTGCACTGCAGAGTCAATTTGCAGAATGAGAGCCACGTCCATTATTGGAAAGATTAGAATGCAACGACTTAGAAAGGAAGACTTGTCAATGTGAATTGAATAGCATTGTCAATGTACCAAATCTAAAAGCAAAGATGAAAATTTGAAGATTTGGACATTTATCAATCCTATCATCATTGGACATTTTTAAATACAGAAGCATACTGCAGAAAAACTTCATATTTTCCACATGATTATGGAAAATGTTTTGCTTGAAATTAAATTGGTGTCATTTCAATTATTTCCGTTTAAACTAAAGGGAAGCTGTATTTTTTTTACCACAAGTTTAAATTTAGAACAGAATAAAAAAAAAAAAAAAAAAAAACTCTATCGCATAGGAAATTCTGAGTTGGTAACAGAGTTATCTATATGTTGACCAAGAAGACCTGAATGCTGGAACTAGCTTCTTTGAACCATTAATTAAGCTACCTAAAAGCAAATGGGAACATGGGATCCACTGATTGCAGAACCCCAACTTCATTCACTTCAGCGCATTGATTCAAGACTAAATAGTTTTCTCAATCACTATAACATTTGTTGATTCCACTTCTTGAGGCATTTACTACTATTTGGATAAATGAAAAAGAAATGACTTGAAATTTATTACCTTAGCTTGGACTTGACTTCAAGAGGTGCACGCACTGAAACATTGCAGAATTCCACACAAAATGTACAATTTGCAGTATTGACTACGCCTATTGGAGAAAAAGATGAGATGAGCAACAATATCAGAATGCTGGAACTACCACCTTTGCACCGTCAATTATGCTACCAAAAGGAAAATAGGGAGATGGGATCCACCAATTGCTGCACCCCAACTTCACATCAGTGCGTTCGACTTCAACATAGATTACTTCAGCCAATCTGATTTGTAACATTTTATACAGCTTAAAATTTTTGTTACCATTAGATTTGAGTATATGCTGATTCCACTTGTTGAATTATATAGGTTTCTCAAGTTGATTAAAGCTGTAAATGATTCTGATAAACTTATTGGGAATTGTTGCTTTTGGGAAAATTGTGGATCTGTGTTCCTTTTTCTCTCTTTTAGCTAGATAAATTATCTCAGTTCAAAAGACTGGAACTAAAAAAATTAGTCCTTCAGTGTGCATCAATGAATGTAAAACATTGAATTTAATCCTTATCTAAGTTTCTGTTGTCACGCCCCGAATTGAGGCATAACACGGCCATATTACCTTGAAGTAAAACCCCAAAGCAATACGAAGCCTAATCCATAACCATTGAACAACTCTCAAATATAAAATGTTCTCATTAAGTAACATAGCTAGATAACAAGTCTCCAAAGGTTCCAAAGTGGAGTATTACAACTAAAATAAACAATACTTCATAAAATCCTATATTTCTAAGTAGTTCTCCAATGCTTGATTCTTCTAGCTTTTCTCAAGCTAATCATACTTATCATTCATAACATCTGTAAAAGAAAAGAAAATAGGGAATGAGCAAACCATAGCTCAGTAAGTAAAGGCTCACACACCTTACCGGATCAAACATCATTTTCATACATGTCATATAGATCATTCAAAACATTTGTCAAATCATAATGTCAAAACATCTCAATATTATCGTTCTGTCAAACATTTCATAAATTCATAAATCATTGTAAAATATGTTATCATTCAAATATTGTAGTCAAACCAAATCATGGATCAATCATTAAAAATCATTGTAAATCATCATTATCATTCAAATCGTTAGCTACGATCACTGCTATAAACCGTGACATTGACCGTATCGACAATTTCATTCTCATGATCATTGCTAACTATTATAACATGTTAGCCAAGGCTTACACTAACTACTATTACCCGTTAGCCAGGGTCGTAGAACTAGTTCTGGTGTCTATGATCCCACTTCCCAGGGATATAAAAACGTAGCTATCATAAAATCATTCTTTAAATATAAATCATTTTCTCATTTCATTCATAAGTATGATCCATCGTTTATATAAAGAAACACAAAATAATCATATGCTTGATCCTATTTTCATACATTGAAAATAATGAAATAAAATATTCATTCAATTAGAAACATACATATATACATAGTTTCGAAAACAAGCAAAGTGTGTGAGATTCTACTTACCTTCTTCTGATTCCACCACCTAATTTTTTCTCCCTCAAAATTTAGTGGCCTATTCAAGACAATTCCGACATAACAATAATTAATCAACCCATTTGAGGCCACTTATACCAAAACAATTAAGTTAAATAAGTAATAACTCGAGTAATTAATTCTGGCAGTCTGCGCTACTTTCACTAAAACTATCATAACTCAAGATATCCAATTCGGAACTAAAATCTTTTTAATGCATTAAAAACTAGACTTGACAAGCTTTCTAACCATATATGGCCCATCTCGTGATTCTTTGTGGATTAACTATAACAATTTTTGAAATCCACGTCATATGCTGCTGCCAGACAGCCTGTATACCTTTTCATAAAAATTACGTATTTATTCATAGGTAACTCCGAATTCAATTCTGCTTATTTCGTTGGAAAGTAAACTCAATAAGCTTTCCAAACATATATGGCTTAATCTGTAAATCCATATATAAAAATTAAGGGAAATTTCGTAATTCCTCCTTACTGCTGCTACTAGGCAGCATGCACATCCTTAGGTAAAAATTAGATAACTCTTCATAGAGAACTCGAATTCAACTCCCGTTTGTTTCATTAGAAAGTAGATTCAACATGCTTTCCAATCATATGTAATAATCATAGTAGTATTTAACCCTTTAATACAGAATATAACCTTAATTCATCACTACAAACATAAGATTCATATCAGGATTTATACGAAACAAATATTTTCCTTTCTATTCCAATCAAATTTCTGTTTCAGCAATAAAATCACATTACCAACTTTCTCAACACTTAACTTGACCCTAATTAAAGTTTAAATCATCTGACCAAAGAGGGATAATGAAAACCCTAAAATTTTAGGGTTTCTCGATTATAAATTATACCTTAAGGCTTAACCATCAATACTCCAAAATTGAAAGAGATTATTTACTCACCTCTAACAGACAATTTTTCCTTGTAGATTTGTTCTTTCCCTTCACTTGGAATCCTTCAATTGATCTTTTCTGTATAAGAAACATATGAGAAGTAAGTTTCTATTTTTCTTTCGATTAATCGTGGACTAAAAACTGAAAAGTTAACTCTATTAATAAAAAAAAAAATTGGATTATTTATCAATAAGTCCTCTGCATTTCTCATTCTTTATTAAAGAGTCCCCCCACTTATAAAAATACTTAAAATAGTCCCTTTTTTTTTTTACGGGTATTACATCCTCCCCAACTTATAAAAAGTTTCGTCCTCGAAACTTGATTTACCTTCATTTTTGAATAACTGAGGATGTCGTTTCTTCATATCATATTCCATTTCCCAAGTTACTTCTCTTGGTGTATGATTGCTTCATTGGACTTTTATAAAGGGAATAGTTCTATGCCTTAAGACTTGCTCTTTTCGATCAATTATTCGAATAGGATATTCCAAGTATGTTAAATCTTCTTGAACTTCTAAAGGTTCATACTCTATCACGTGGCTTGGGTTAGAGACATACTTTCTCAACATGGACACATGAAAAACATTGTGCACACCAGATAGTTAAGGTGGCAAGGCTATCCTATATGCAACTTCTCCCACCTTATCAAGAATTTCAAATGGACTTATATAACGTGGGCTTAGCTTTCCTCGCTTCCCAAACCGCATAACACCTTTTGTGGGTGACACTTTTAAAAAAAAAAATCCCCTTGTTGAAATTCTAACTCCTTTCTTTTTTATCTGCCCAACTCTTTGACGATCTTGTGCTGCTTTAAGTCTCTCCTTAATCACCTTGATCTTTTCTACAGTCAGTTGCACCATTTCTGGCCCTAGGAGTTTTCTTTCCCCAACATCATCCTAGCATAAAGGGGATCTACACTTTCTACCATACAAGGCCTCAAAAGGAGCCATCCCAATACTAGATTGGTAACTGTTATTATAAGAGAACTCTGTTAAAGGTAAGTAATCATCCTAACTACCTTTTAGATCAATCACACATGCTTGAAGCATATCTTCTAAAATCTGATTTGTTCACTCTATTTGCCCATCTGTCTAAGGGTGAAAGGCTGTACTCAATTTCAAATTTGTCCCCATAGCTCACTGTAAGCTTACCCAAAACTTAGAAACAAATCTAGAATCTCTATCTGACACAATACTCACTGAAACTCCATGCAATCGGATAATTTCACTAATGTACAATTGTGCTAGTTTATCAAGTGGAGTAGTCAACTTGATAGGTAGAAAATGAGCTGATTTAATGAGTCTATCAACAATTACCCACACTGCATTATTCCCTTTAGATGACCTAGGCAACCCCATCACGAAATCCATAGAGATGTGCTCCCACTTCCATTCTGGTATCTCTAAAGTTTTGTAACAACCCTGATGGTCTTTGGTGTTCAGCCTTAACTTGCTGACACACTAGACATTGGGACACAAACTGAGCTATGTCATGTTTCATATTATTCCACCAAAAACTTTTTTTCAAATCTTTATACATCTTAGTGCCTCCAGGATGTATAGTGAATCGAGACCCATGTGCTTCTTCTAAAATCTCTCGTTTTAAATCAAGATCATTTGGTACACACAATCTATTTCTAAAACGTAATGTGCCATCCTCGTGAAGATTAAACTCTGGCCTCAAACCATTCTGCACTTCTATCTTAATTCTATCTAACTCATTATCTTCTTTTTGTACAAATTTTATCTTTTTGATCAAAGTTGGCTGAACCACCAAACTAGCCATAACAACACATTTTCCCTGTATAATCACCTCGATTTGCTGCGTATCAAGTTCTTCCAACAATTTTGGTTGCAAAGTAAGTA